TGCCTCATGAAAAGAAATGACTGTGCTGTCAACCTTGTGAAATCCATGGTGCTGACATGTTGTACTCTACATAACCGATATCAATATGTATCGCGATATAAGTTTTTTCAATAACGGTGATATTTTTAAACACATTTCCGATATACATTACCAGTTGTATCACTCTAAAAGCGCCTCCTGCTGGCAGAGAATGAGTTTTCATTTTAAATAAGCCCCCGTAAATGTCGCATCATGCACGTGAGGTTATCTGACGGAGAGACGCAAAGCAATTTAAAGCAGAGTCCTGCACGGGTGCTGTTAGGTAAACCTGCATCCACAGTAGCTACACAACAGAACACCCGACCCGTTATCCGACAGCAGCCAGCAACAATTTAATTCTGTACCCGACCCGTTTGACATCAAGACCGCGACCTGAACCGCACCCGCATTAAATAGGCTACTGCATCAGTATTCTCATGTAACACAAGCAATCACACCAAAATAGGCATTTTAAGTTGGTGCTTTGAAGAGAAATAGACAAGCAGCGCAACGGAGGAATGATAAGAACGCGCATTCTTCCTGTATACAATACAAACTTTTGCCTACATCTTGTGAACAATCTGCCAGGCTGTTTTGAACAAATGTGCATAAACTACATACTTAAATCTTCATAAATGAAAAGAACATATTTAGATATGACTTTACTGTTAAGTGCCATTGTCTCCCTTAAACTCTGCAGTGTATAGGCTATGCGGCCGTTAGTCCTTTACAGAAGCATTAAAAATAAATCTTAAAAATAAAATGATATAGGCTACAGAAAGCGAGAAACGAGTGCTCCCGAGCTGTCATTCACTTCAGCTGCAGCGCCAATGGCTAGAATGCGCAACGCTGCAAATCCAATGTTGAGGCTCCGCTATTATTATTGCATTTCATCAGTCCCACTTATTTATGCGCGTTTGTTCGTGGGAAAGTGAGCAAGACATGACAGTGATTATAGTTAAATAAGATGAAAGACATAGGCTATAATATAAAGAAATTAGCTACATTTATTTTCAAATTAAATATCACAACACACATTTATCATTCAGT